AAAAAAAAAAAAAAAAAGAACAAAAAATACATATGCAAAATAAGAAACTGAGAAAGCCACAGAAATACAGAGAATTTCACAAAATAATAGAAGCTGGCTGGGCACAGTGTTACATGCCTGTAATCCCAGCACTTTGGGAGACGAAGGAAAGTAGATCTTTTGAGCCCAGGAGTTAGAGTCAGCCTGGGCAACATGGTAAAATCCTGTCTCTACAAAAATTAGTTGGGTTTGGTGACATGTGTCTATAGTTCCAGCTGCTCAGAAGGCTGTAGTGGGAAGATTGCGTGAGCCTGGGGGGCGGAGGTCACACTGAGCCAAGATGGCGCCACTGCACTCCAGCCTGGATCACAAAGCAAGACCCTGTCTCAAAAAAAATAATCATAATAACAATAGAAACTACTTTGTAAAACTCTATATAATTAAATTAAATATGAATAAAATAAATAAATTTCCAGTAAAATGTGAGCTACCAAAAGTGAACCCAGACAGCCTGAACAGACTGGTTTTTTAAAACATTTTTATGGGTACACAGTAGGTATATATATCTATGGGTTATATAAGCTTTTGATACATGCATATAATGCATAATATCAGGGCAAATGGGATATCCATTACCTCAAGCATTTATCCTTTCTTTGTGTTATAAACAATCCAATTATACTTTGTTATTTAAAAATATATGATAAATTATTAGACTGATTTTCACAAAATAAATGAAAGAAGTTTTAAAATAGCTACCCACCAAACCAAACAAAAACAAAAACAAACACACCAGGTCACACGGTTTCACAGGAGAATTCCACAAAATCATAAAAGAGCTGATAATATCAATACTATTTTAAAACTGTTATACATTTGGCAGGGCGAGGTGGCTCACGCCTGTAATTCCAGCACTTTGGGAGGCCAAGGTGGGCAGATCACAAGGTCAGGAGTTCCAGACCAGCCTGACCAACATGGTGAAACCCCATCAATACTAAAAATACAAAAATTAGCCTGGTATGGTGGCACATGCCTGTAATCCCAGCTACTTGGGAGGCTGAGGCAGAAGAATTGCTTGAACCTGGGAGGCAGAGGTTGCAGTGAGCCAAGATTGCATCATTGCACTCCAGCCTGGGCAACAAGAGTGAAACTCTGTCTCAAAACCAAAAACCAAAAACCAAAAACCAAACCAACCCAAAACAAAAAACCTGTTATACATTTTAGAAAATGGAAAACTTCTAATTTTTTAGGAAATAATACCAAAACTTGAAAAAGACTGTACAAAAAAGGAAGACAGCAGATTAATCTGACTTTTGCATTTTAATTTATAAAAGTAAAGTATTAGCAAACAGAATCCAGCATCAATTAAAAGAATCGAGGAGTGCTGGTTTGGTTCAATGTTTGTTAAAAAGAAGAGAAATATCACATCGTCAGCTCCATAGATGCTGAAAAGACATCTGACAAAATTTAACACATAGTCTTGATAAACGTACTTAATAAAACAAGAATCAGCAGCTATTCCTTAATATGACAATACATACAAACATACAATACTTAATGCTTCTAAAGCAAGGAAAAAAAAGGATGCACATTAATCACTACTATTTAATCCTAATTAGTCTATATAATCTGATAAAAAAAATAGAGAATAAAAATGCAACCCCAGAGCCCCATGTACAATAACAAAACAAAAAACAAACAAAAATCCAAAGGAAGAGGTAAACTTATCACTAGTTGCAGCTGATGATTATGGCCCAGGAGCCCCAAGAAAATCATTTGAAAAAAATACCACAAACAATAATGGAATTCAATAACACAGAAAGAGAAAAAGTATACAGAAAACAAATGCTTGCATGTACATAAGCAACCAATTAGAATCTATAAACCCATTTGATAGCAACAAAAAGGAGAAAATATCCTGGAATAACAAGAAATGGCCTGGGTGTGGTGGCTCAAGCCTATAACACCAGCACTTTGGGAGGCTGAGGTGAGTGGATTACCCGAGGTCAGGAGTTCAAGACCAGCCTGACCAACATGGTGAAACCCTGTCTCTACTAAAAACACAAAATTAGCCAAGTGTGGTGGCGCATGCCTGTAATCCCAGCTGCTTGAGAGGCTGACACAGGAGAATTGCTTGAACCTGGGAGGCAGAGGTTGCTAAGAGCTGAGATCGCTCGATTGTACTCCAGCCTGGGCAACACAAGAGCGAAACTCTGTCTCAAAAAAGAAAGAAAGAAAGAAAATAAACGTGAAAATTTAAGTGAGGAAAGCTTTAAGATCTCTTGAAGAAAACAAAAGTAATCTTGAACAAATGGAAAGACACAGTATATTCTTTGACAGAAAGACAACACCTTGAAGATGCCAATTTTAAACTTAATTTAAAAATCTAATAAGATCTCAATAAAAATAACAATCTGTCCTCTCCCACTCACTGGATCTAAACAAGGTATTTCTAAAGCTTACACATCGGAATGGCCTGGAAAACGCTGAAAAGAGAAAATGGGACTATCAAATATTAAAAGTCATAAAAGAAATGACTGATCGATACATATGTATGTGTGCACACACCAACATACAAACAAACTCCTGCACAGCAAAAAACAAAACAAAACAAAACAAAAACAAAACAAAAAAAACTCCACTATACCAAAGGACAAAAGACAAATAGCAACCTAGGTAAAATATCTGCAACTCATGAAAGATGAAAGGCTAATTTCCCTAATTATCACGAGGTCAACAGATCAAGATCATCCCGGCTAACATGGTGAAACCCTGTCTCTACTAAAAATACAAAAAAAATTAAGCCAGGCATGGCGGTGCGTGCCTGTAGTCCCAGCTACTTGGGAGGCTGAGGCAGGAGAATTGCTTGAAACCGGAAAATGGAAGTCACAGTGAGCCGGGATCGCACCACTGCACTCCCGCCTGGCAACAGAGTGAGACTCCATCTCAAAAGAAAGAAACACAAGTGCCTTATATTTGTGAAAAGGTAGTCAAATGCAAATTTAAAAGACACAAAGAAACTATTTCTTACAAATCTGATTGATAAAAAAATCTAAGAGTTTGACAACTCTAGTGGCAAAGATATAAGGAAACTGGTACTCTCATTCATTGATGCAAAATATTTACAATCTCTATGGAGTGTAATCTAGCAATAATGACACAAATTACAAATATTAATACATTTACCCTTAACTCATCAGTCTAACCTCCAGGAATTTATCTTACAGACATATCTTAATATACATAAAATGATATGAAACAGAAAATAGCTAAAAATAACCCTAGTATACATCTAAAGAAAACTGGTTAAATCTATCCCCTTCTCAATCATATACTACACAATGGTAGGTGCAGTTCAAAAAATGCCCTAATCTTTAAGGATCCAAGGGATCCTTGGAGGAATGTCTAATTTCAGGTACTGGGCAGGAAATACAAGATGAGCAAGGAATATCCTGCTGTGCCTGAAAGCAAGAAAGCCTTCAAACACTTAAGAATTATCAATAGGACATTGTGCTTTTCCACAGAAAAATTCCACCCAATGCAAAAAGAAAAACAGAAAAATTACCATTGGTAATCCCTAGTGAAATAAACAATTTGGGTCACAAGAATCAGTGAACAGAATATTAGCAATTCAAATGTTAAGTAAGAAATTTATAATGGAGAGATCTCTGAATCTACTGATAAATCCCTGAACCTAGAGACTGATTTTTGCATGACTAAAATTGGGACCAGTAGATACTGTGTTTCCTAATATGACACAATAAAACACTTAAGCATTCTGAACCAGAATGGAATCAAACTTCTACGCTTTCATTTCCAGAAAATAAAGGGGATAGAGGAACAAGGTAATAACACAAGAAAACAAAAAGACAAAATCAGATTTGAACATATTCTACAGAACAAGTGACCAAGTTTCCGTAAAACGTCGATGGCATACAAGAAAACAGGGAAGGAAATGGGACTACTAGATCGAAAAAGGCATAATAATCAAATGTGACGTGTGGATCTTGTTTGAATTCTGATTAGAACCAGCTAACTAGAAAAAGGCATATTTCAGACAATCAGGGAAATCTAATTATGGACAGGTATTAGAGGGTTCAAATAAATGCTTGTTTATAATTTCCTACATATGCTAATGACATTGCTGCTATAATAATAATAGAAAAAACACCATAGTTTTAGAGGTACACATTGAATTAGTAGGGACAAAATAAAATGCTGTGTGGGATTTGATTTAAAAACACTACCACAGAAGAAGAAATGTACTCGGATAAAGCAAAGGTAGAAAAATTCTGACAATCTGAGTAATGGCTGCCTATATGGTAGTCCATCATACTATTCTCTCTGCTTTTATATAAACTTGAAAATATTTGTAAGAAAACACCTAAAAACAAGAATGCAATTAGCACCACATTAAGATCAGCAATAGGCATAACACCTGGGGGTCACCATGACCAACAGAATTATCTTTCTTAAAATATGTATTTCATAATGAAATGTTGGCTTAGAGTTAAAAGGGCAAAAGTGAGTTATAATAGAAGATTGCTCAGATAACCAAGTCAGGGCTTTTAAATCTGTCTTCATGCTCTTGCTTCATGTTTAGCAGCATTTTAAGACAAGTGCTACAGGCTTTCTAAACAAAATAAAAATACAATGTTTTTCCAGTAGATCATGATACATGTCCAAATATTACTTCAATACTCCAGTATGTATAATTACATATAAAATGTATGTATACATATCATACAGAAATCTACCACCCAATACAGAATATGGCTTTAGTTCCCTTACCATCGATATTAAGCATCATTTTCCACATGGCAGGCCGAACAGACTGATGGAATCCAAACCACACTTCCCTGCCCCCTCCCAGAGGGTGGTCATATCCTTCTGGAGCTGAGAAAAAGGAACGCCCCACAGGTGTGTATCTACAAAAATTAAAATGGCATGTTCAATCCTTTCCTTCTCACACAAGTATTTAAATCTGCAGAAAAGGAAAGACTAGAGTACAATTAATTTATCATAATGATGCATATCATTATGAATATAAGAAACTAAACATGTTCCAAATTTGTGAAAGCAAAAACTACCCACTCTAAATGAAAAAAATCTGCTGAAATTCTCCTTTCTCAAAACTGTTAGTTGAAATAAGAATAAACTTTATTTAAAATAATTGGTCAAAAAAATAGGTTTTTAAAAATTAGCAGTTACAACCTTAAAAATGTTAACAAGTAAATACTTATTGATCAAAAAGATATTTCTATAAATGTCTTTGCAAGACATACTATTTTTCTTTAAAAAAATATACTGAGTCAGGTGTGTGGGCTCACACTGTAATCCCAGCACTCTGGGAGGCTAAGGTGAGAGGATCACTTGAGTCCAGGAGTTTGAAACCAGCCTGGGCAACATAGGGAGATTCCATCTCTACAAAAAAATTTTTTTTTAAATTAGCCAGGCATAGTGGTGTATACCTGTGGTCTCAGTTACTCAGACGGCTGAGGTAGGAGGATTGCTTATGCCTGGGAGGTTGAGGCTGCAGTGGGCCATGACTGTGCCACTGCACTACACCTTGGGCGACAGAGTGAGACCATGTCTCAAAAAAACTCCAACCAAACAATAAAAAATACACTGGTAGATGTGCGTGCACATACAGGCGCATACCCTACAAGTGAGGACCTAGGGTTAACAAAAAGCAATTCAACACAATTTGATAATATTGTATAAACAGTGAAACTGCTTTTAAAACAAGATAATATAACTAAAGAAATACATCTGAAAACAGATGTTAGTTAAAACTTTTGATCCTAAGAGTAAGGGTGAGGCATTTTTCTATAAAATTATTCATGAGACTAGCTGAGCTAATGATGTATAGTTACTTGCAAAAGCCAGATAATTTTCTGTAACGTACTCCTGTCAATGAATTTGTATGCGTGCTATTCCTGTTCAACATTTCAGTTGAACAATCAAAATATATGACAAATAAAGGTGAAGCAAGGGAAGGCTGCAAAATTCATTCTTGGGAGTTTAAAATCTAAAGAGAAAAAAAGTAGAAGCACCCACTTCATGGAGGGCAGATGTCGTAGCACCACATCAACAGCATGGACAGGGTTAGTGCTGATTGGCTTGTCTAATTCCAGTGGCTCAGGCAAGGTCCGTCCTGTCAGTACTTCATGCAGTAGGTGCCAACTCACCCGAGAGACAAATTTGATTGACACCTTAAAAGGTCGATCTTTTCCACCTTCTCCAGGTAAAGTAACGTCTAAATCTACCTGTTGATGGGAAAAGAGTTGACTGGTAAATGTTCAAAAAGATAAATACAATTATTTTAGATTTAACTTACAAAAATATCTAAGAGAAAACACGGTAAAAATAAAAAAATCAATAGACTAAAATATGCCATTTATTTTTTTGTAGAGAAAATTTAAATAACATAGTTACTCATGCCAGCATTATGTGTCATTGCAAAGTACTAGAAGCTACCTAAATGCTCCAACATTTATGCAGCTATGAAAAAGGAATGAGAAAAATCTCTTGAAACTACTGTGGAATAAATTTTGAAGCTATACTGTTAAGTGAAAAAGCAAGGTACAAAAGATTACAAATAGTATGACATCTTTTATGTGAGAAAGGAGGAAAATATTCACATATCTGCTTACTTCTACAAAAAGAAACATAGGAAGCATGAACCAGAAACAAAGAACTAATTACTTTCAAAGGATGGGAGGGAATGGACTGGAAAAAATAAGGGACGAACAACTCTGAGTATATGTTTTGATGTAATTTTGACATTTGGAATCATATTAAAGTTCTACACATTAAAAAAAGGAAAAAAAAAAAAAAAAGGCCAGGTGCAGTGGCTCATGGATGTAATCCCAGCACTTTTCAAGGCTGAGGCAGGCGGATCACTTGAGGTCAGGAGTTCAACCAGGTTGGCCAACACGGTGAAACCCTGTCTCTACTAAAAATACAAAAGTTAGCCAGGTGTGGTGGTGGACACCTGTAATCCCAGCTACTAGAGAGGCTGAGACACGAGAATCGCTTGAACACAGGAGGTGGAAGGTACTGTGAGCCCAGATTGTGCTACATCGCTCTAGCCTGGGAGACAGAGTGAGACTCCATCTCAAAAACAAAACCAAACCAAACCAATTTTAGGCCGGGTATGGTGGCTCACTCCTGTAATCCCAGCACTTTGGGACACTGAGGCAGGAGGATTGCTTGAGCCAAGGAATTCTAAACCAACCCAGGCAACAGAGCAAGATCTAGTCTCTATGAAAACTTAAATTAGCCAGGTGTGATGGTGCATGCCTGTAGTCCCAGCTGCTCAGGAGGCTGAAGCAGTAGGATCGTTTGTGCCTGGGAGGTTGAGGCTAGAGTGAGCCATGAGTATGCCACTGCACTCCAGCGTGGGTTACACAGTGAGACCCTGTCTAAATAAATAAAAATGGGAAAAAATTAAATCAGAATCAAATGAACCAAAACAAATTTCAAATAAATAGCATAACCACATTGAAAGAAAGGAAAAAGGAAGGACTAATTCAAGTAACTCTTGAACATAGTATGTATACTGACAATAGTCTTAATTCCAGAGTTAGAGAAAGGGTGGATTTAGAAGAAGAGTTACATACAAAATATAGCCTTGAATACATTAGTAGGTTTGTTTTCTGTAGTGGTCTGAGCATAGTTATTCATAAGCTATTTTTTTGTTGTTGTTTTTTGAGACAAAGTCTCACTCTGTCACCCAGGCTGAAGTGCAGTGGCACGATCTTGGCTCACTGCAACCTCCACCTCCCAGGTTCAGGCAATTCTCCTGCCTCAGCCTCCTGAGTAGCTGGGATTACAGGCGTGTGCCACCACACCCAGCTAATTTTTGTATTTTTAGTACAGACAAGGTCACCATGTTGGTCAGGCTGGTCTCGAACTCCTGACCTTGTGATCCACCCTCTTGGGCCTCCCAAAGTGCTTGGATTACAGGCGTGAGCCACCGCGCCCAGTCCACAAACTATTTTATATATACTGTAGGACTCAGCAAATGAGGAGGAGTGGTGATGTTTTGAGGAGCCAGGAATCTAACTAAAGAAGGAAGATACAAATATGATATGGAGTAAGGAAAAGAGAATCCCATGGGGCATAGACTGGAATTGGAAGAATCGGGTGTGAACTTATGAGTTCATATACGTGTGTGTGTGTTTCACATATGCATGTGTGTTAGATTTACCATATAAAGTGTAATATGTTTTTATTATGTTTTATTTATCTACTTATTTATATATTTCCTATCTCTATCCATTGAAAGGGCTTAGAAGCACATATACCCCAGCAGCAATGAACACACCAATACCCAAATTTTAATTTCAAAATTGCATTTGCCAACTAAAAGAAACCAGAGCTCCTCAGAGAAATGGTTAGTTGCAGGACTGCAGCAGGGAAACATAAAATAAACCAGGAACATCTTGTGCCAGAAAGTAACGAAGTAGAGTTATGCACTGCATAATGATTTTGGGTCAGCAATGGGCCACAAACACACAGTGGTCCCATTAGATTAATGAAGCTGCCTTATACAGGTATACCATTTTAAAAATCTTTTATAATGTATTTTTACTGTAGCTTTTCCATATTTAGATATGTTTAGATATATAAATGTTTACCATTGTCTTACAAGTGCCTACAGTATTCAGTATACCCTACATAGGTCTGTAGCAATAAAGGGGCATACTAAATGGTGTAGGGGCATAGCAAGTTATACCATTTAGGTTTGTGTAAGTATACTCTATGATGTTAGCACAATGACAAAATTGCCCAAAGACGCATTTCTCAGAGCACATCCCCATTGTTTTAGGTGATGCAGGACCGTATTCCTCAAAAAGTGTCATTTCAAAAGGACATAGGAGTCAGCTTACAAGAGTTCCCACTGGTCAAATCTGGGACAGTCTGGGCAGTGAAATCAATAAACAGAGTAAAAGAAAATACTCTCCCTTACAGCAGATTAATGAATATACAAAGAAGGAATGGCAGAATTAGAAAGTCACCACTTCTAGCCCGTTGCAGTGGCTCACGCCTGTAATCCCAGCACTTTGGGAGGCTGAGGCAGGCAGATCACAAGGTCAGGCGGTCGAGACCATCCTGGCTAACACGGTGAAATCCTGTCTCTATTAAAAATACAAAAAATTAGCTGCCGTGGTGGTACATGCCTGTAGTCCCAGCTATTTGGAGGCTGAGGCAGGAGAATCGCTTGAATCTGGGAGGTGGAGGTTACAGTGAGCCGAGATCGATCGTGCCACTGCACTCCAGCCTGGCGACAGAGCAACTCAGTCTCAAAAAAAAAAGAAAAAAAAGAAAATCACCACTTCTACACAGTAATAATCCTTTCAAGCAAGAATAGTCAATTGCCAAAAAATCTAATGGGCAACAGGATCCTTAAAAGTATTTCCCATTTCAAAATTTAAAACTTCTGTGTATCAAGGGCCACAATCAACAGAGTGAAAAGGTAACCTGTGAAATGTGAGAAAATAGTTGCAAATTACATATTTTATAAGAAGTTAATATCCAGAATATGTATGGTTAACCTCCAGAATACCGAAATTAATATCCAGAATATATATAAATAACTCCTACAATGGTATTAAGTTTAGCTAAAAAAAATAAAAATAAAAAAATAACTCCTTCAACTCACTACAATCACCACCCAAAACCCAAAACAAACAACCCAGCTAAAAAAATGGGCAAAAGACTTTACACATTTCTCCAAAGAAGATATACAAACGGCCAATAAGCATACAAAATTATACTTAAAATCACTAATTGTTGGGGGACATGCAAATCAAAAACCACAATGAGATACCATCTCACGCCCACTAGGATGGCTACTATTAGAAAACAAACCAACAAAAAAGCCAGAAAACAAGTTGGCATGGAAGTGAGAGTTTGGAACTCTTGTGTACTGTTGGTGGGAATGCAAAATGATGCAGCCATTTTGGAAAACAATATAGCAGATTCTCAAAAAATTAATAATCATCACATGACCCAGCAAATTTACTTCTGGGTATATATCCAAAAGAACTGAAAGCAGAGTCTCCGTACTTCTACATCTATGTTCATAGCAGGATTATCTGTAATAGCCAAAAGGTGTCCATTGATGCATGAAGGAATAAACAAAATGTGTTATATACATACAGTGGAAAATTATTCAGCCTTGAAAAGGAAGGAGATTCTAACACATGCAACAATGTGGATAAACTGTGAGGAAATTTTGGTAAGTGAAATACGCCAGTCATAAAAAGACAAACACTCTCTGATTTCACTTACGTGAGGTACGTAGAACAGTCAAATTTAGAAAGTACTATGGTGGTTGTCAAAGTTTGAAGGGAGGGAGCAACGGATACTGATTATTGGATATGGAGTTTCAGTTTTGTAAGATAAAGACAATTCTGGGAATGGATGGTGGTCATGTGTTTAATACCATTGAGATGTACCATGAAAATGGTTAAGATGGTAAATTTTATGTTATATATGTTTTATCACAATCAGAAAAAGAATCTCCCTACAAGATACTTATTAACTACAAGGAGAAAAAGAATAGCTCAATTGGAGAAAGCTGGCAGACACCAATTTAATCAAAGTTAACATCACCAATGATGGAACAAATACATACTGCGTGCTTCCTGATATGACAAACTGATAAGGAAAGAACGCTTATATAATATTCCTGCCAATAATGCATAAACAGAATGTAATCAAGGGGAAGCATCAGACAAACCCAGACTGAAGGACATTCTACAAAGTAACTTGCCTATAATCTTCAACTATGTTATTGTCATGAAAAAAAAAAAAAAAAAAAAAAAAAAAAGCTGGGGAAAGAAAGACATGGTATCTATATCATGATCCTGGACTGGATTCTGTAACAGAGAGGAAAAGAAATGCTAAAGGACATCATTAGAACAATTGATAAAACTGGAATTTGTATTGTTGATTAAAGTATCATATCAATGATAAATTTAATGAACTTGATAACTGTACAAGGGGTTTTAATCATTGTTCTTAGGAATATATAGTAAAGTATTAAATACTAGCCTAGCGTGGTGGCTCATACCTGTAATCCCAGAACTTTGGGAGGCCAAGCTGGGCAGATCATTT